ACAGTTTCAAAGCAAAACCAAAGCTTACTGGGAAAGAGTTGGAAGGGCAGAGATCTCATTCTGTGTTCATAATGAACGATGACAAAACCTGGACAGCGTGTGTGTGTGTGTGTGTATATATGTATGTATAGATAGATCTTGAAGAGGCTCGATGTGGGTATCTGCTCTGTGTAGCTCCTTTGATGAGTTTAAGACAATAAAACTCCCTGATAAGATAACCAAAAAAGCCGGTTCCCAGGCAAACCAAAAGCATCACGTACTAAAACCAGAGACCAGACTATGAGATGCAGACTGACATCTTTACATGACTCTGCATGATGTCTGACAGCTCTATATATATATATATGTATGATGTGTGAATCTGAAGCTTGTATCAGTGCACTGGAAGCTGTGTGGGACGAGGACGAACAGGGGTCTTTGAAGGGCTCACCCTGATAAACCATTAAGAACCAAGAATCAGACAAGGTTGGAGAGAGAGAGAGATGATATGAGTTTGTCTGTTCTCTTTCTTACCTTATCGATAAAGAACCCAGAACAACGCCGCTGCAGTTGAGAGCTGCGATTGCGCTTTCAGCCTGAAACGATGCAAAGATTCTTAGAAAGTTCCTTTGCCATAATTTTCAGCATTTGGAAGATTACCACAAGAAAGAACCAAACAGAGAAGAGGAAACCTGCTATAGCTTCTTTTTAAAACATGTAAAGATCAATCCTCTACCTCCACAAACTCACTATGCTTTCAACTAGGGATGAAAGCTCGTATCTATAGAGCTGATTCATCGGTTTACTTTCCGAATTTCTAATTGTTATGGAGCGTCGGTATGTAGACATCACCGAGATAATCCACTTACCATCACAAACTCTACGAAAGCAATCCGAGTTGATTGGTGAAAGTCACCCAGTAGCCTCAGGCGGTACACCTGCATATACACTTAGTGTTTTTAATTTAGAATCCTCTCTTGTAACTCTACAAATTACACAGAAAACATTCTATCGCATAAAAACGGCGTTTTCATGTTAGTAAAGATGTAATTAATCACCCCGAACCTCTCCACAAACGGACTCGAAGAAGAGCTTAACATCAGCCTGCGTGATCTGTGGTAAACAACATGCATCATGGGCCGAATGAGGAGAATGCAATTCAAGATTAGCTTTTATATATATAAGGCCATGAATCACTTGTAAGGAGAAAAGGGGATAAGGGAGACACCTTCTTGTCGATGTTAGTGCAGTAGATAGTCCTTGCACACATCTCACGTTCATCTTCGCTCTAAACCCAAACATCGACAGATCATTTCCTAATTCCAAGAACCGGAACTATGTCCTCAGTAGTAATCCTAATCCAACAAGTACAAGAAAGTCTCACCCTCGGCAAGAACGTAGGGTTAACCGGTGCAATAGCTGTTTTGGAGGGAAGAACCCTAACAGGATAGAATCCAAGCATCGTCCCGGATAAACTCAGTGCAGCCCTTGCACTCTCTACGATAAAACGAACACATCAAAGAAATCACATATACCACCTGACTACTAAAGCATATTAAAAAAAAAAATAGACAGATATTAGTCTTTGTAATACCTTCGTCAGTGAACTCAATGAAGGCAAAGCGAAGAACCGAGCTAGGGTCTCCACATATACGGCAATCAACGACCTGCTAAACTAAGCAGTTCACACAAACCAACTACCGAAACAGGACATGGAGTATCTAGATAAAGGCACTTTAACCTGTCCACAGCTGACAAACAAACCAGCAAGCTGCTCCTCAGTGACCTATGTTATACACCCAAGCAGACTGAAAGTAAAGAACTACACGGAAAATCCTAAGATGAAATGGTGTAAGAAATGGACAGCCCGAGAACGATCCTAGAGGAAAAGTGCAAGCTTTAAGACCTGTTGGTCAATATCAGAGACATATACAGTTGTATGGATGATCTCTTCACTTTGAGCCATGCTTGTCCGGCTGTTGATCCTCCGTTTCCCTTGCCCGAAACTCTTCTTCTGCGAGAAACAATATGGAAATAATCATTGGAATGAATGCATTTGCTCAAGGCTGTTCAGGTAGCGGCTTTAGCTTTAGGAAAAACCATACAGAGCACAAGCAAACGGCAGAATCCAGATTGTAAAGTCATTGCAAAAAAAAAACATTCAACTTTGTTTCATGATCTTCCGAAATTCCCGAACTTCCAACCCAAAAATGGCGAAATTTGCATTATATTGGCAAAACAACAGAAACAGTGAATGCAGGAAGAGACAACGAGGAAGTCTCAAAATGTAAAACAACAAAGAATTTGTTCAATACTCACGTCTATGGTATCACAATCCCAAAAACCCTAGAAAATTTTGGCGAAATTTACTATACAAACGCAGAAATGAGGTCCGCAACAGAGAGAGAGAGAGAGAGAGAGAGAGAGAGAGGAAGAGAGATTGCCGGAGTCTTACCCGTCGAAAACCGCCGTTTCCGGGACGACCAAAGCCATTGTTGCTCAGGAACGAGTTGAAGTCGGTGAAGAAACCTCCGTTGACGCCGTTAAAGCCGTCAACTCCTTGCTTGGCCAGCGACGGAGGAACAAACGCTTCAGCCATGGGGTTTAGCTTGGAGAAGAGCTCCTGAAGCTCCCTCATCTCCTGCTTGAAGCTCTCTCCGCCGTCGGAACTCGCCACGTGCGAGCCGATCTTGCCGTAAATGCAGTCCTGATCGTGTCGGAGAACCGGACCGCCGCCGTTCTGATGCAAACCAAGCTCGATCCTCGACTGGTGGTTCTGATCGTTGGACGACACAGTCGAATTGTGACTCACCACGGACGACGGAGGAGATGGAGGGATCACGCCGGCCCCATCATCAGCAACAGCGTTTTCAACGACCGCCATGTTCAGACCTCGAGAATCGAAGCACCCGGACAAGAACTCGACAAAATTTCGGATTTTTCAAGGAACCCACGATCGATCAAGCAAACAGAGAGGGATTTAGGAATAGGAAAAAGGAAAAGGAGGAGAATCAGGAGATGGGTCTAAAAGAACAAAGCCGCCATGGGAGAGGGAGAAGAGTAAAACCTGAGGATCACAAGGAATTAATGGAACGTCAGATGATTAGCAGGTTCGTCAAGAACGGGACAGCAGCCAAAGAGCAAAGATCAAACCCAAATGCGATCAAGATTTTCTTTGTACTGTGGTTGAAATGAAAAAAAAAGAAGAAGAGTAGAATCCGACCGTACCGCAGAGAGAAGATGAACACGCGTCGCTTCCGCTTTTCTTTTGTTGCGACTTTCCGACCACCCAGAATGTAGGAATCCCAAACCTAGTATTCCTACATCTGATTTTTAGATCAGCTACGGGCGATGACAATGTTTTCAGTGAATAGAAGTGGATTAATATATATAGTTATTGTTGGGTTGTCGCCTATATATATATATATATTATATAACCATCCTAAGATAAAATAAATAAATATTGAATTCCGAGAAAATTGTGCACAATTAAAGAAATTTTATAGATTTTTAATCGTTAACAATATTCCATCACTGAAAATACCGTGTGTACTCCAAATATACTATTATACTCTTTATTAAACAACTCACTATATATGAATAGATCAATTAACAGAACCATATAAAAAGAAGAATAAGAACATGCAGAAAGCTAAATAGGGAGGTATCAAGGTTTTTAAGTCCAATTTCTCTTGATTCTATCAAAAAATTTTGTAAATTGAAATTTTAAATTTAAAATCTGTTTTTCATGGAAAATAAATATTTGATTTGGAAAACAATAAATTAGTGAAAAAAAGATAGAGAGAGAAGGTGGTGTTATTATTTGGGCCAATGCTTTTTGGGCCTGATTCATGCAAGGACTCATTTGGGCAACACAGACAAGAGCGATGGGCTTCCAACGGGAAATTTGCAACTTTCCGTTCAGTTCCGCCAAATGGAAATCCTTTGATCTCCTTCGAGTTTCGTCGTCGCCTTCTTTGTCGCTGCCGAAAAATTCAGAAGCGGGAACCACACACAAAAGATCAGGAAGCTGGATTTCTGTGGGAATCTGGTGGATGTTTTCTCCAGGTAACATGGCCTTCGTTCTCGAACTCTCGGCTAACTTGGATTTCCGAGAGAGGTATGGATTTTGAATTGGGTTTCTGATTCCTAGGGCTTTGTTTGTGTCGGAAGAGACAAATTGGTTCGTAGAAGTTGGGAATTAAGGTTTCGTTTCTGTATTTTCTGCATAGTTGGCAGAGACGTGGAGAAAAGGGGGTTAGGGTTTTCCCCATTTTTCTGTTGTTTCTGAAAAGGCTGATTTTGGGGGATGAAAGGGAGATCGTATTGGTTCCCGACCACGGAACCGCACGAGGACTGGGTGGATGGGTCCTGGACGGTGGATTGTGTGTGTGGTGTGAACTTCGATGATGGAGAGGAAATGGTGAATTGTGATGAGTGTGGGGTGTGGGTGCACACTCGGTGCTCACAGTACGTTAAGGGAGATGAGCTCTTTACTTGTGACAAGTGCAAGAGCAAGAATAATGTTAACGACAGTGAGGAGACGGAAGTAGCTCAGTTATTGGTTGAATTGCCCACTAAAACCTTGAGAATGGAAAAATCATATGGTCGGAGTGGACCGCTGAGGCACCCTTTTAGGCTTTGGACAGAGATCCCAATGGAAGAAAGGGTCCACGTACAAGGAATTCCTGGAGGTGATCCAGCTCTCTTTGAAGGATTATCGTCAGTTTTCTCACGAGAGCTGTGGAAGTGTACTGGGTATGTGCCAAAGAAGTTTAACTTTAAGTATAGGGAATTTCCTTGCTGGGACAAGGAGGAGAAGGATGAAGCACAAAATGCATGTGAAAATGGGCCTCAAGCTGAAAATGGTGCTGGCGTGCTGTTTTCTATGTCAACGGAAAACGTTGTGGATACTCCTGCCAGTGCTTTGGTTTGCATGAGAAGCCTTGGGGATAAGGAAACAGATAGCTTGAAGCTTGGTGTGAAAGACACCAAAAGATTGGAATCTGAGGTAGTGGACACAATACATTCTCAGAATGCCATGAAGAAGGATAAGAGTTTGCTTCGTCCTTTGCTTATGAATAAACAAAGAAAAGAAATGTTGGAAGCCTCAAAAGATCGAATGAAGAAGAAGGTTAAACATACAGACAAGGAGGAAGATGAGAAGAAATGTTTTGTGCGTAAAACAGGTTAGCCAAATTACATTCTTGCCTTCAAGATCCTGTAAGCAGACTTAGATTTGCCCACAATGTCTACAAGGATCACTTTAGGTGCCCTCACACTTAGCATTGTTATTTATGCATATTAATACAAAGATTTTCTTCTTTCTTTCTTTATTTCTTTCGTATTACTAGCATTTCGACGTACCATTGATTCTAAGCCATCAGAATCTCGGAAGGACAGAGATCCCGAAGGTTTTTCCAGTGATGTTGGGAGCATAAAGAGTGAGAAGTCCAAAGAAAATGTTCCTGAAGATGCTAATGATCGTGATCTTGCTAGTGGTGGTGATAAAACCAGCAATACAGCAATTGCAGTTGAATGCTCCAGGGACCTGCAGCTTTCCAATGTTCATGCTCATGGTGCTGGAAAACAGGATGAAAGAGTTGCACATCATGTCCGCATTGTTCTAAAGACCTCTGCCATCAGTGATCCTTCATCCCTGGAGGAAAAGAGTGTGGTCTACAATCAAGCTAAGGAAGAGGTATGGCTTAGTTTGGCCTAGGTTTATACGAATTTAAATTTGACTTTGAATTCTTTCCTGTGTGCGTGTAGGCTTGGTGTTTTCAATATTGTCGTTCATTTAGATTGTTAACCTTCTGTAGGGGAAAAAGTGCCTAATATTGGTGTGGTAGTTGCTAATGCATGAAATGTTTTGAATTAAAACCTTGCACGGGTAATAAGGAATCATGAGCAGCGAGAAGGTCCTTAGTTTATCAAATGAAAAAAACTGTCGCTTTTTTTTTTTTACTGAGCAACTGTTTTGATTGACATCTGCTAATTTATTTTGGAAAATTGTTCCTTTCAAAACTTATTTTTTGAGAATATTATGTTTGCTTTAGATAACACTTAGGATGCATACCATGGTCGGATTTCTTATATAACTCCACCACAAAAGCTAGCTTAAGAGTGGAGGGTTGACCCTCCTTATATATATTGGCCTCAAATCCCTCTCTTTCTCCGATGTGGGACACTTATCAATTTCCCCTGTAACAAGATGGTTTTCTTATATTACAGAGACAGAGTACAATTGTTGATACTTCAGAAGATAATGCAGAAGGTTCACCAGGAAGTTCTGCAAAGCCCTCTGTCAGTTGCACGGTTGGTACTTCACCAGAAGTTGATGGCAAAAAGTTAAATGATGTTTGTGGTTCAAATAGCTGTGGAAAGAACAGCTTACAAAAAGAGATGGATGATGCCAATGCCGGTGGAGCTGTTGGTCAACAAGCTCTTGACCGTGTCGATTCTGAGGGTGCAGAAACCTCTACATATCAAATCTCTGGAGCTTCTGAATTCAACAAAATGAAACTAAGCAGTACATTTACCGATAAGCACAATATGCAATCTCTTGACAGGGCATCAGAAAGAGTAATTAATAGCAAAGCAGACAAAGCTGATGAGCTATCCAGTCATCCTGCATGGGTTAAAAGAGAAGTTGTGTGTACAGAAGGATCTATGATAGCGCAGAAAGATACATTGGAATCCAAGCCCGAATCACGTTTACTGCAAGAGCGGCCAGAATCTTGCAGACCTGTTTCTAGCACCATTTCAGGTTATAGCCAGCCCAAAGTGGTGGTATGCATTGGAAAATCATCTTCTTCAGCAGCCATGGAAAAGTCTTCTGGTCACACAGCTTCGGAGAATTTTAGTCCTGGCTCGAAGCAGCAACCAAGAGATGGCCACACTAAAGGTGAGAGAGACCGTGCTTCCATTGATGTGGTCAGAGATAGAGACAGGGATGACTCTTCAGGAAAAGCCTTGAAAGAGCATCCAAAATACTCCACCTCTTCAAAATTGGTGCAGCAAGGTCGAGTGTCCCATTCTTCGGTTTCCAAAAGAAATGCTCCAGATTCAATGGCTGCTTCCTCTTCTTCAAAGGCATCTTCAGCCCAGACTAATTGTTCTGTGGAAGCTGCTGGTTCGCTTCTGAACCAGCACTCTTCGCAATTGCAGAATAAACAGTTATTTTCAGGGATTCCCCAGAAAGGTGACAAGCCTGGTCAACCAATTTCCCAGTCCTCATCTAAGAAACCTGCACAATCAACACATTCTATGGCTCCAAATTCCAGTGCGCTTTTGAGTGATGAAGAGGCAAGACATCTTTTTCTTTTTGTTTCTTTTCTTTGCCCCTATGGACATGTTGACATCTTTTCCTTTTGTTTTCCCCTGTCATGGTCAGCTTGCTTTATTGTTGCACCAAGAACTCAACAGTTCACCTAGAGTTCCTCGTGTCCCACGCATGCGACAGCCTGGGAGCTTGCCCCAGTTAGCATCTTCAGCTGCCACAAGTTTGTTGATGAAACGAACTTCGAGTTCTGGGAGCAAGGATCATGGATCGGTATGGTAGACCCTGTTATATTTTAACTGATGCTCTTTACCTCCCTGCCCTTTCAGCATTTCGCGTTTTCTATTTCTCCTGAATAGACTCGGTTTGTAGGCTGATATGCTATTATGGTTTTGGTAGTTTTCTAGAAGAAAAAACAAGGACATATCGAAAGATGGTTTCCGCACTTCTCGTGATGTTGACAAAGTTATGAAGAGCACAAGATTGTGCTACTCTCCTGATAGGAAGGCTCAAGATAGTGGAAGCAGAGGGAGTGCATATACTAAAGGGGAAAAGAATGAAACTCCTAAAACTCCATATTTCTCTCGTAAAGTATTTCTTCCCCTTTCTTCCACGACGAGCACGAGCAGTGGACAATGTTCCTCCAGTGAATTAAATGAGCATAGTGTGCCTTCTCCACATAGTTCACCGAGGACTACATCAGATGGTGGTCCAATGCATCAGACTTTGCCAAGTAAATGTTTTTTCGAAGTAAAACACTGTAGTTTTCCATGTTGGAAATATTTGCTAGTTTTCTCATCTGTCGAAAGAATAACAGGTTTAATCAATGAAATCATGAGCAAAGGCGAGCGAATGACATATGAGGAACTCTGTAATGCTGTCCTGCCGGTATGCATCCATATAAAGTTAGCCGTTTTCATTTTTTTTCCCTTTTCAAATTCATATTTTATCAAAAAACTTCCTTGTTACTGTTTCTTTCTGCAGCACTGGCCTCACTTGAGAAAACATAACGGGGAGCGCTATGCTTATTCAAGCCATTCACAGGCCGTTCTTGATTGCTTGAGGAATCGGCATGAATGGGCTCGTCTTGTTGATCGTGGTCCCAAGGTATCTCATACTCCCCACAATTCTCCAACTTTACTTCCATCTGTAAAATTGGCACATTTCCTAGCGTCTTGGCGCTCTGGCCCTAGCCACTGGACACACAATTCACCCTTCTTCTGTTGTTTTCAACCTTTAACGACCCTAAAACACACTTTGTGCAATGTTCAGACGAATTCAAGCAGAAGGAAAAGGAAGCCTGATTCAGAGGAGTCAGATGAGAACATAACGAGCAAGGGACAGGAGACAGTCGAGGGCGGAGAAGGGAAGCAGCTGTGTAACTCGCAAGGAGAAGGCTTCCCCAAAGGAAAACGGAAAGCGAGAAAAAGGAGGAGGTTGGCATTACAGGGAAAAGGCATTAGAGAATTGAGAAAGAAGAAAGATGAGGAGATGAGCGAAGAGGAGGAGGAGACTGAGGCAAGTGAGGATGCGTTCTCAGATTCAAGCGAAGAGAGCATCTTCAGTGAAGAAGAGGACATGGAGCCAGGGGGCAACACCACCGCCGGTAGAGAAGTCTCTAGTAGCTCTGAGGATACCGAAACCACATCCTGAGCTCCATTCTCCAGGTTCTCTCTCTCTCTCTCTCTCTGTTTATATGTCTCTTGCTGTGTATAGACCAAAAGCCCCTTTTGTGTGATCAAATCAATAGGGGCTTTTGCATAGAAACACATTACAACAGCTTAAATCACCTCGCTATTGCTGTTGTTCTTTTTTTCCATTTCCGTTTTTTTTTCTCGTCTGGTGGGTTTGGTCTGTTTATTGTTGTGGGTGGGGAGCCTGTTATGGAAGCAGAATCTTGTAGGGTTAGAGATACATAGATGAGTTTAGGAAGATGAAACAGGCAAGTCACAAAAGGGTGATAGATGACCAACGGTCCTGATCCATTCTCCTCCCAATCTGTATTAGACCGTTTTTGCACCCAAAATCAAAAGATAATGAAATATACATGTTAAATTAACTAGTTTGCATAGCCCTTCGACATTGACATGTATTGCTGCTACGTATGATTTGCAAAGCATTTTGGATCCATTGGACATTGTATAGCTACTAGATAATCACATTCGTCCACTCATGTTTTGCAAATGGGCTTGTGTGTATGAGCTTAGCCGTATCTTATTCATTCCCATATAAACGAAGTGATTAATTCCTTCTTACTATATATATATATATATATGTATACATACATGCTTGTAGCCGCTATGCACCATCATCAACCAATACATAACGCCAAAGACATAGTAACTATCCAATCCATAGCACTTCATGTAGTATTTATTACATAATATTTGCGTGCACTTTCCAACATTTGGTCGCTTGCTTCTTCGTTGGATTCGCCTGTAAACATCGGTTAGGGTTTTCGCTTATTTCTTCGTTCCAAGATCCCACCACTTCAAACTTTCTCCGACAGACAAAAATATCTCCGGCTGATATGTCGTCACGACACAAACAGATCAAGAACCCGAGCTAAGTTATATACACAATCTCAAGGAGTTGCGACGTTTTCCTTAGCAAGAGGAGCGATCTCTTCTCCTTCGGTCCCAGCCTCACTTCCTGCGACCTCCATTGACAACAGTACCTTCTCCCACAGCCTCGCAGGTCCCTGCAACGGACAAACCCTAATTCAGTATTCCCGAAAAACATTCTCCTAAGTTGCAGTGGCATTCTTGTAAGGGGGTGTCCTTGATGTGAGATGATATTATCGAAATTGATTCCATGGTGAAGAAAGAATCTCACTGACCTTCCAGGAGAAGTCTTGGGCCATGCAGTTCTGAACCATTTCTTTCATGGCGGCTGTTCCGTACACTCTGATGGCTCTCGTCACTGTTGCTGCTACTGCACTCACATCAGCCGGGTCCACTACTTCACACTGAAAGATGGTAAAAGGTTGCAACTTGCTCATTACCCATAAAAAAAAGTCCACAACTTTCAGACAGGATTTGTCCTAACCGATCGATGTTTATTTCATATGTTTTCAGGTTTGAATTCGGTTACCTCAACGTTGAATCTTCCGATGTGGAAGCCAGTGTAGCCTTCCTTGACTGTGTCCACAAGCCCGCCAGTGGACGCCACAATGGGAACCTGCAAATCAACTGGCCGTGATAATGGATTCTCGGAGAGATCAAATCGGCTGGTGCGTGGATTTGGATGATCATTACCGTTCCATATCTCATGGCGTGCAACTGAATGAGGCCACATGGCTCGAACCTGCTCGGGACTATAATGAAGTCAGCACCAGCAGTGATCATATGAGCCAATGGCACGTTGAATTTCGCCACACCAACAGCCTTTCCCGGGTATTTCGCTTCCAGTTGCAGAATCTGTGCTTCCAATTTCTTCTTACCAGTTCCCTTGGAGGGTATAAAGAGCGAGTCAGTGAATATATGAGTGAAAAGACTCATGAAAACGTTATGTCTGATAAGAAAACAGGTTAGTTCATCTCAAGTGAGGTACTAACAAGGATTATAATCTGAACGTTCTGCCCGACGAATTTGTTAATAGCAGCCACAAGAATATCAGAACCCTTCTGTTCCTCCAATCTTCCGATGAAGCCAACCACCGGGATATCCCTATCAACTGGAAGACCAACCATGGCTTGCAGCGCTTCTTTCAGCAATGGCTTCGCTTCTGTAACCTGCAACAATGATCAACAAAAGGTCCTTTTGATCGTTAACAAGTCGAGATTTCTGATTTCCAGATGTAATGATCTTTCGGCAAGACACTTACCGTAGTGGCATCGTATTTGATATCAATGTACTTGTCAGTGGCCGGGTTCCATTCTTGCACGTCCATTCCGTTTACGATTCCAGTGATTGTTTTCATACGGAGGTAAGAATGCAATTCCACACCTCTCTCAACCCCGGAAACGAGTTCCTGTGCGTAATGTGGACTGACGGTTAAGACCCTGTTGGATTCCAGGATTCCAGCCTTCATCCAGTTGATCTTCCGTCCCTTTACGGGCTTATCATACCTAATCCCAGAACAAGAAACGTAAATCGAGGATTGTTAATAGACAGAGAGTGTTGTTATATATTCTTCTGACAACAATCTGCAAGGGTCAGTACCCGTCCATGAAGTCCAATGAACTCTTGAAAACGTCGGGTAAGTTAAGAAACGAGAAATCTGAGAAAGCGAATCTTCCTTGATAGGCTATGTTGTGGATGCAGAAGACGACCTGTAAAGCATTCATCACGGAAAGGGTTACTCCAGAAAGCAAAAGGAATGATTTTTTCCGAAGATATGATCCAACAAGGGCTTGAATTATTTATTACCTTTGCATTCTTGTAGATTCCGCGTGACTGGTACATGGATTTGAGGTAACATGGAAGAAGGCCGGTATGCCAATCATTGGCAACGAAGACAACATCTTCCCCTGAAACATAACGGAACTGAGTAAGTTTATGATGCAACACTTATTCATCTTAAGGTAATTTTACAAAAAGTTTTGAGAATCGGAAGGCATTCTCACCATAAGGTCCCGAGAAATACTTGCTGCTGTTCAAGTTCAGAACCCTTGGCGCCTCAAGTGCTGCCTGCAAATTAGGAAAGTAAACCACACTTATGTCATGAAGGAACAGAGATATAGTTCACATATACACAGATAAGGCAGTGGATGACTAAATGAAAGCAACCTGCAATGTAACAATCATTACATAATGTCAATGGAGTTATTGTTCGAATTGAATAAAAGATCTCAAGAGCAAGGCGTGTGTTACCAGACACAACAGGCTGAACCGGAGCTGGTTGTCATCATAGTCCACTCCAGCGTTAGGACCATAGACTTTGGATCCAGTTTTTCCCCAGACCTGTGTTATTTACAAAAGCTCAGAACCCACCCATAGGCTTTCTCATGAATAGACCCTTCTAGTGATTAGGGAAGGAAATAAACCTTCTCGAGGAACATCGGATGATCAACAAAGACACGATCAACCCCTCGTTTGTAGCAGTGGAAGAACCGAACAGTCTCAACTCTGTTGCCAACTTGGATCTGTATTAGATTAAGACATTCAACATGCCAAGAACACTTGATAAGAATAGTGTTCATCAGACAAGAAAGCAAATACCCAAGAACATTTACCAAAGCATGGAATTGATCAAAAGGGCAAAAATGGAGAGAAATTGACCTGAACCACGGCACAAGTGTCCCAAGAATCTTTGTATTGGTCATACCGGGGAGCTACAGTCATCACTCGGTGTCCTCTAGCCTAACCAGACCAATAACACACTGAATTAGACACCATATTCAGTTCATGAGAAGCTCAGAAAACGTTACGGCACACCAAATAGCCATTTGGTTCCAACATTAAACAGGTAAAAGTATACAACTTACGGCCATTGCAGGAGGGAGACCACCAAGAACATCACCGAGGCCACCGGTTTTACTCCAGGGACCGACCTCAGCTCCAACAAAGACCAATGTCATCCCCTGCTGATTCATGATCTTGCCGGAATGCTTAACAGTCGGAATGTTCTGTGATCTTTTGGTGGATTTAGCAGAAACTGCTTTGCCACGGATTCTCTTCTGAAGCCTATCCACCATGTTGAAAGACCTTAGCCCACAGTGAGTCACTGATTGACCCTTCAACGCAATCTGAGACAGATTTGGGATGGTCTCGGAGCCTGAACCTCCATGGTTGTTGATGAGTGAGGTTCTTGGCACGCAGTGTGAAGCAGTCACAGTTGCCATCGCGGAAAATCCCTATATCTGGAACCAAAACAGGAGGAGAACAGGATCACAATCAACAAAATTGATTTCCTCCTAAAGCTTGCAGCTTTCATGCGAATAAAATGAGAAAGACGATGCTTTCCAACTGAAGACAGGACCTTCGCTATGATCTATCAGATAATAGAGCTGGCAAAACATACAAGAAGCATAACCCAGATGCAAAAAAAAAACCCTAAACCATACACCAATGAAGCGGGCAATTTCGTCTGAGCGACTACAGACTCACTGCTTCACGCTTCAGAACTGAAACTAAACTCAGGGAGGGAGGGAGGGAGAGAGAGAGAGAGAGAAAGAGAGAGACTTTTAACAGAGAATACTATAGTCCGGAAAATCTGTAATTTGAAGAAGACGAATCACAAGTAATCAGATAAAAAAAAAATTTGAATCACAACAGATTCCAAACATTCCGAGAATTTGACCGAAGAAAAAATCATACGATTGAAATAAAAAGATTAAACATTTTCAGACATTAATCAGAGATAAAATCTTACCGTGTTAGAGCTCCGAAGCGTCCGTGAGAGACCTGAGAATGTGATCACAGAAACACGGGCAGACGGAGCTGAAGAAGCCCAACCAGAGCAATGGCGCGTTTTTGTAGTGGTGGGACGTTGTTGCCACGTGGCGAAAATCCAGTGGTATAGCTGCTTCTTGAGACATGTGGCATTAATCTATGGGCTCAGCTGCTAATGGATCTCTAGGCGCCTCAGGATCCGATTTTTGTCACGTGCTGGGGGCCAGTGGCATCACCGAGAATATGCCGACCTTTGAGGCTAATATGAGAGGTTAAGTGATGATATTTTTGGGATGTGTACGTTCTCAGCGGTGGGAATTACCTGGTTGGGAGTGGGGCCCGTTAATGGATCCCACATGTACACGGTTTTGTCGCCATGTCCCTGAATTACCTCTGGACGAAATCTTTTCTGGGCCCATTAAGTAAATGAACGGTCCGAAATATACGTCCCTGTTGTATTATTATTATTATTATTATTATTATTATTATTATTATTAACTACTACGTCTTATAAGGCCGACATGTTTAAAAGCCCAATGATGATGATGGCCCAAAACAAGAAAATCAAGACGCAGCTTGACAAACATGGAAGGCGATTTTGATTATTTCTATGAAATTGTGTTCTTGTACTTTTTATTTATTTATTTTTGGTCCGATTCGTCATGGAAATGCAACGTACTTTGTAGAATTTGAATGCTTAATCATTAATTAGCCTTAATTAAAATTTGTTATAAATGTTAAAACGTATTGTTCCGGTGAGTTTAGATATACAAGAACAAAAATATCTTGGCAGATATTATTCATCCAGATCTTGTTATGAATGTACTGCATGTAATTTTGTAAAGAGGAGATTTCAAAAGGGTGATGCATAGTCACAAGGTTACTATGGTTCAGATATTTGTTGGATATCAAAGCCCATTACATAATTATGAAGCCCATTAAGCATACTTCATAAAGCCCAATACAGAGGTGATAAGCCCATTAAAATGGTCCAGCACGTTCATCCATCGTCTCCGATCGTCTTGAAACAATATGTTAATTCATTTCTTCATCTAATAAACCATTAGATAGCCACATGCTCTGTACGGACAGATTCAATCCATCAGTTATCGTCGTAGTATCGTTGTAGAATCTGAGTTCTGACGGAGACAGGAATGGTCACTTCACGAACCGAGTCCGTCCAAGTCAATCTCCCGAAGTAGAACCCACTGTTCACTTTGTGTGCGGTCGTGACCCGGACCGTGAATGAAACCCTTTTGGTTTCAGAGTTAAACACTAACGTTTTCGGATTCACGTCCACTCGAACGCCCGACGGAGGCTCCATCACGACCTTATAGACCGAGTCGCGAGGTCCAACGTTAGTGACGGTTCGTGTCAGAGTGACTTCGTCTCTCAGATTCGGGATCGTGATCGAAGGTAAGTTCAGATCGAGAATGGATGGCTTCGGGTTCGGACAAGAAGTTGGTTTTCCGATGAGTTGTGAGATGGAGGAATCGGCATAACCAGCAGAGCACATGTAGAGGATATAATCAGATGTGCCCATGTCGTATACCAGACCAGGATCTGTGGCTTTCTCTGGATTGACAAGGCCTCCTCCATAGTCGAACGGGTCGGCCAGTTTTCGGTTCGATCCGTCCGCGAAGATCGGTTCTCCAGATGGATCGGTTTTCCAAGCTGCAAACCAAGAATGCTCAAAAGGGTCAGTGATTTTTCATTAAGATGTGATCAATACACTGGAGAAAAGATTCGATAAGAACCTGTAGTGACAAGAGCCGATCGGATTGCGGCGGGAGACCAATCAGGATGTAATCCTCTGAGTAGAGCTACGATTCCCGACACAACAGGAGTTGCCATTGATGTTCCCGACTTCATAGCGAATCCTCCATCGTCCGGAGAGGTAGCTGCAAGTATATTGACTCCTGGTGCTGAAATATCTGGCTGCAAATGCAAGAACACAGTTTCTCAAACAATTTTTTTGTTTTTTGTCATCAGAAACAGACATTCCAATGGACTGGGAACATAGGGAAGCGTTCCGACATACCTTGAGAATGGCTGGAGATATCGAGTTAGGTCCTCTCGACGAGAAAGTTGCGACCTTTGTGGAAACAGGTTGTCCAACGAGTGTTTGGGAAGGCATTATCTTCACCACGGGAATTCTGCGAAAATAGTCGAACGGGTCGGCCAGTTTTCGGTTCGATCCGTCCGCGAAGATCGGTTCTCCAGATGGATCGGTTTTCCAAGCTGCAAACCAAGAATGCTCAAAAGGGTCAGTGATTTTTCATTAAGATGTGATCAATACACTGGAGAAAAGATTCGATAAGAACCTGTAGTGACAAGAGCCGATCGGATTGCGGCGGGAGACCAATCAGGATGTAATCCTCTGAGTAGAGCTACGATTCCCGACACAACAGGAGTTGCCATTGATGTTCCCGACTTCATAGCGAATCCTCCATCGTCCGGAGAGGTAGCTGCAAGTATATTGACTCCTGGTGCTGAAATATCTGGCTGCAAATGCAAGAACACAGTTTCTCAAACAATTTTTTTGTTTTTTGTCATCAGAAACAGACATTCCAATGGACTGGGAACATAGGGAAGCGTTCCGACATACCTTGAGAATGGCTGGAGATATCGAGTTAGGTCCTCTCGACGAGAAAGTTGCGACCTTTGTGGAAACAGGTTGTCCAACGAGTGTTTGGGAAGGCATTATCTTCACCACGGGAATTCTGCGAAACCAAGAATGTCGTTAAAAGTATCCATCACGTACACGAAAACGATGTTATGGTGAAGATTAGATTCGGCAAAAATACTTATTTGAACGTATGTAGAATAGAATGTCAGTCCCGAGCTCATAATCTACGGCGATACATGGAAAACCGCCACAGGGAACAAGCAAGTGACCCGGGTTTCTGGCAATGATAACTCCGAGACCGCGAGCGTTTCTTACAGCGGAGACAGCACTTGCAACTGGGGAGTTATCCGTTTTCGCAGTGAAACACAACACGACTTTCCCGGCCATAGTCGAGTTGGGATTAACAGAAAGTCTCTCACAGTCACTGCAAGTTTACAGTTCCATGATCTCAGAGAAATGATGTCTCACTGTTCAAATTCATGTCTGGTTCTTGAAATACTGATCCAAAAGAGGAAAATCAGAGGCAAATATTACCCGGAAAACTCCTCGTCACCGGTTCCTGGATTCTCGGGATAAACTAAACCAGTGAAACCGAGTTCTGGACCGACGTACATCGCTTGACCCTGCATAAGCAAAGATGAAATATCGAAAAGCATTCATCTGATAAGGTTTTGGATGAAATCTTGATGAGTGTGTGTCGATATAGACATAGATATAAACTGAAATAACAATATACCTGCATTGTTATATTGTTCCCTAGCGTTATGGACGTGGGAAAGGATCGGTCTAGAGTGGTTGCAGCCACCGTCAAGACCCAAGGAGCCGTGTTCACGACGGTCTGGGCCGCCGGACCTTTATTACCAGCAGCACATACAACTAGAATTCCCTTAGAAACTGCATGGAAAGATCCAACTGAAATGCCATCCCGGATCTCGATTTCAGAAAACAGAGGGATCGGGAAAGCGACAGATATCGATATCACGTCCACGCCATCGTGTATAGCTTCGTCTATCGCTTTCAAGAGATCGGATCCCATACAAGTTCCTACTTGAAGCCAACAAGCTTTGTACATTGCGATACGAGCAAGAGGAGCTCCTCCCCTCGCGGTTCCTTTACCGAATCCTCCATAGCTTACGTTAGCCACGAAAGAGCCGGCTGCAATGGTCGAGACGTGAGTTCCGTGGCCGTTAAAGTCTCTCGGGGAAACGTATTCGGGATTTTGAGTGGTGTTTAAGTCTCCGATGGCGGCGAGGAGGCCGTCGATGAAGTACTTTGCTCCTATTAGCTTTCTGTTGCAATGAGCTGAGCCGTTGAATTGCTGTCCCGACTCGCAATTTCCTTTCCAACGGCTCGGTATCGGTCCAATCCCTTCGTCACTGAACATTTCAGACTCTGGCCACACTCCTGTGACAACGATTTGGATCATACATACATGCATAGATACACACATACACACATACATACATACCTGTGTCAACGATACCGATGATGACTTGATGACCAAGGTGGGTGTTACGTAAGAGGTTACTAGAGTTCACTGAAGAAAGGCCCAAGTAATCCCAACTCCTAGTTGTTGCCAGTTCGTAGGATCGATCAGCCATGACATGGATCACTTCCGGTAATCCTGTCTCCACGAAAAAAAAAAAACCATGAACAACGGCTTAGCATTTTTGCATGGTAATAATAAAGCCAAAACAAAAAAAATGTTAAAAAGATCACCTGAAATTTGTTCGGCTTGGAAATCTGTAAGCTTTGCAGCAAAACCAGAGAAACCATGCCGATAGCTATATACCATAGAATCATGCGCATCCTCTTTGCTGTGACATGAAATGGACCAAGAACCGTCAATTACAATTTGACAGATACACACATGTATATGCGTGTATATATATACACACACCTTCCAAGAATTGACCATAGCATCTGATGATGAGATTCAGTGACAAACTCAGGATCATCATGTCGTCTCTCTCCCAGATACACTATATGAACCTATTGATCAGACCATAAAGAAAACAAAAAACAAAAAACCCTTTAGTTTGTCGTTTTGCTGTCTGCCATCATCATCCATTAATGCAGAAGTACCTTCTTCTTGGCATCTGCTCGCGTGCTCTGCCGATTCAGAACTAACAGTAACAGAGTTATTGGTAAGAGAAATGATGTTTTCCCCATTCTCTATCTTTAAGACAGAAACTGAAGATGTCTGTCTTGTTCTGATATGTCTTCAGGTGTAAGAATGTTTCAATTGCCTTATAGCTCTGGATTCTGGATTGCTTCTCGTTTGTCGTCCCCACGTTCTCACAAAGTCAAAGTCAACAGAAATTATAAGTTGAATACATACATACATATATATATATATATATCCATGCATGGATTAGAAATTCCCTTCTCCTATAGTGCATTCAACGCACTACTGCTATGTACGTAGCTGGATGATTCCAATCTCAATGATTTTCATGAATCTTTTTTTTTAAAAAAAGAACCTTTCTTGTCTTATTTCATTGACTTTATGAAAATTCGATCTGTGTTCATGAACTTACATAACAATAAACGGAAACTAAGGTTTCTGCAGTTTCAGACAATGGTTGAGAATATGGAGATTATTATTATTATTATTATTCAAAGCAGATTATTGCAATTTTTATGTAATTATGTAACAAGATTATTCATCAGCACACAATCATATTACATAATGTAAGTTTCAGCAGAAATAAATCTTTCATACCTTGATCGAGATGTTAACTTTGGGTCGATGATCCGAATTTTGATTACAAGAACCAAAAACACAAAGTTACTATCCAAATCGATTAATATTGTTTTAAGGCGTCTTTCTCTTTTATTCTTGTTACTTGTGTTTTTACCATTGAATATCTTTACCGTGTGTAAAAGAGATTGCGTTTCACATACCAAAAAAAAAACATCTTTAATTTATGATGAAGAAATGTTATCAATATATTATGAGATTTATGAAGAAATGTTACTAAAACATTTATTAAATGGTTGCTATGCAAACCGTTATTCACATAATTTATCAGCACACATACATAGGGGTGGGCGTTTCGGGAAACGGTTCGGGTTCGGGACGGAATAGATCGGTTCGGTTCTTTCGGTTTTACAAAAATAGGTACCAATCGGGTTTTTATTGTATTCGGTTCGGTTCGGTTTCGGTATCGGTTCGGTTCGGTTCCGGGTTTTATTAAAAAAATGTTAGATTTCCTTTAAAAATATTCGGTTTTTTGGGATTTTTAAAGTTCGGTTCGGTTCGGTTCGGTTCCGGAAAAATTCGGTTCTCTAAAAATGGTACCGTTCGGGAAATAACAACGGTTTCGGGTCGGAAAAAATACCGTTTTAACGGTTCGGTTCGGTCCGGTTCCGTAAAACCGAACCGAAACGCCCAGCCCTACACATACACACCACACGAATATACAAACTCCGTGGATCAGGATTCAGGACAGTAGCTTTTCCAAGGGATGAGGAGAAACGCCGACACGCCATCAGTTCTCGTCGTAGTAGCGTGGCAGAATCTGTGTCCTGACAGAGACAGGGATGGCCACATTATGAACAGAGTCTGTCCAAGTCAAGCTCCCGAAGTAGAATCCAGTGTTCACTTTGTGACTGGTCGAGACTCGAACCGTGAAGGAAACCCTTTCGGTTTTAGGGTTGAACACTAACGTTTTCGGATTCACGTCCATATGGACGCCCGATGGAGGATCGATCACGACCTTATAGACCGAGTTTCGTGGTCCAACGTTAGTGACGGTTCTTGTGATGGTGACTTCGCCACTGAGATCTGGAATCGTGATCGACGGCAGGTTCAGATCGAGAACAGATGGGTTCGGATGTGGGCAAATGGTTGCTTTTCCCACAACCAGCGAAATGGATGGATCTTTGTAACCGACAGAACACATGTAGTGGATATAGTCAGACGTGCCCATGTCGTATACCAGACCAGGATCTGTGGCTTTCTCTGGATTGACAAGGCCTCCTCCGTAGTCGAACGGGTCAGCTAGTTTTCGGTTCGATCCGTCCGCGAAGATCGGTTCTCCAGATGGATCGGTTTTCCAAGCTGCAAACCAAGAATGCTCAAAAGGGTCAGTCCGTTCTTCGGTTGTAATGTGAAGGACGGCATAGGAAGATTGGTACTATGAACCTGTAGTAACAATGGCTGATCGAATTGCAGCAGGAGACCAATTAGGGTGTAAAGCTCTAAGGAGAGCTACGATTCCCGAAACAACTGGAGTTGCCATTGATGTTCCTGATTTCAGAACAAATCCTCCGGCACCTAATGAATCATTAAGAGAAGTAGCTGCCAATATGTTCACTCCCGGTGCCGATATATCCGGCTGCATACTCATGTATGTAAACACAGTTCTCCGATAAGTTGACAAAAACACGAAACATTGAAGAATCTAACGGGTCAGGAACATGGAAATGGATTTTTCCATACCTTGAGAATTGCTGGAGTGATCGAATTAGGTCCTCTCGACGAGAAAGTTGCGACCTTTGTTGCAACGGGTGGTCCAACCAGCGTTCTTGAAGGCTGTATCTTCACAACAGGCGACCTACAAACCAAGATTACCATAATGTTGAATCTCAGACCGTGTTTTGATGGTTGAAGTTTGATGAAGATGTTTACTTGGTGGAACGTATGTAGAAAAGAATGTCGGTCCCAAGCTCGTAATCTATGGCCGCACATGCGAAATCGACGCACGGAACGAGCAAGTGGCCTGGATTTCTTGCCACGATGACGCCGAGACCGCCTGCCTCGCTTACAGCCTTACCAGCACTTATTACAGCGCTGGGATCTGTCTTTGTTGTGAAACACAACACGACTTTCCCCGCCATTGTCCGGTTTGGATTGGCAGAAAGCTTCTCGCAGTCACTGCGAGTTACAGACAGACAATCTAAATCTGAAATTCGTTTCTTGTTAATGGGAAATCAGAGACAGATCTTACCCTGAAAACGGGCTCTCTGGATAGACCAGAGGAGTGAAGCCAAGCCCTGAACCGACGTACAGCTCTTGACCCTGAAACAAGCAAAGACAGATTATGGACAAGATAGATGATTTCAGACAACAATCGGTACATACATACATACATACATACATACATACATACATACATACATACATACATACATACCAGTATGGTTATATTGTTCCCTAGTGTGATCGGAGTGGGAAAGGATCTGTCCAGAGTGGTTGCAGCCACCGTCAAGATCCAAGGAGCCGTGTTAACGATGGTCTGAGCAGCCGGGCCTGCATTACCACCTGCACATACGACCGGAATACCTCTAGCCACTGCATGGAACGCTCCCACCGCAATCCCATCGCGAATATCGATCTCTGGAAACAGAGGAACAGAAAATGCGATAGAGATCGATATGACGTCGACCCCATCTTTTATAGCTTCATCTATTGCTTTCAACATGTCAGCAGATGAACATGTTGCAGTTCCAATCGCAGTCACATGCCAACAAGCCTTGTACATTGCGATATGAGCAAGTGGAGCACCGCCTCTTATGATCCCTCCGGCAAAACCTAGATAGGTTACGTTAGGTACGAAAGAACCGGCTATCGTCGTTGCAACATGAGTCCCATGGCCGTCAAAATCTTTCGGGGAAACGTACTCGGGATTCTCCGTGGTGTTCAGGTCTCCATTAGAGGCTATGAATCCGTCGATGAAGAACTTAGCTCCTATCAGCTTTCTGTTGCAGTGAGTTGAAGGGTTGAACATTTGTCCTGATTCACATCCTCCTTTCCAACGGCTCGGTATCGATCCCATCCCTTTATCGTTTAGCGATTCAGACTCGGGCCATATTCCTTTAACCATACAAAGATTATCAGACAAGTTAACAATTGGGGGGACATCATTATGGTTACAGAGATGATGTCCTGAAACAACATGAGAAACCAGAGAAGCTGCATATATATATACCTGAATCAATCACACCGGCGATGACTTGGTTTCCCATGTTGGTTTCATAGAGGAGATTCTTAGGATGTTTGGGAGAAAGTCCCAAGTAATCCCAAGTTCTGGTTGTTGTCAGTTGGTAGAACTGATCCAGCACGACATGAACTACCTCCGGTAATTCTGTTGTTTTCACGGAAATGTCTTAGAAATGGCAACGGGTCTGAATGGTAAAAAGTTCAAGAGATAGGGAGAGTTGAAACACATCGAGGTACCCGAGATTTGCTCTGCCTCATACTCTGTAAGCTTTGCTGCAAAACCCGAGAAACCATGTCGGTAGCTGTATACCATTGAATCATGTGCAGCCTCTTCGCTGTAGTAGTGATTGATCAAGAACTATGAATATCAATCTGAAAACACACACACACACACACAAACAAACACAGATACATACATATATGCATATGTTTGTATATGTATACCTTCCAAGAAGTGAGCATAGCATCTGGTGATGAGATTTAGTGACAAACTCGGGGTCTTCATGCTGTTTCCCTCCCAGATACACTATATGAACCTGTTGAGTATCAGAAAATCAATAACCAAAATTGATTTAGTCTAACTTGTTTCTGTTTCATTCTCTCTTAAAGAAAGGCCTTCCATGAAAGAAAAGCGAAGCAACCTTCTTCCTCTCTGCATCGGCTCGCGTGGAAAGGATGCTCAGAACTATTATCAGACTTGTTATTAGAGCAATCTGTGTTTTGCCCATTTTCTGTCTTTATCCAGAGAGAGAGAAGCACAAGCCTTTATATACACATGTAACACATATGCATCATTTCACCAGGTAGAGATTGCTAAGAATGTTTCAAACGCCACATCGGCTCGGTTGGATCTTTCCTCAGTTTCTTGCTTGCCGCCCACTTTGTTTTTTGGGTCCAATGGAATTGCTCAAGGTTTTCTGATTTGTTTCAAACGTTGGAACTAAAAAAATGGATCAACTGTGAAGAAAGCTGCATTCTTTTAGTTACATTCAGAGCACAACTTGTATTCTGTTGAAAACCCTTCAAGCCTCTGACTTGTTCTGGTCAGCTTAAAAAAGATAACATTATCCCACTGGCTTTCTGCCAATTTGATCTTCATAAACAACACAGAACATGAACGGGTTGACAGATACTGGGTCTGACTTTCTAGTTTCCTTATGGCAGGAGCATGTTCTTGAAGCAGATACCGTAATCTCTAAATAGTGAGTGGTGACTCAATATGTTACACCCCTAAATGTCGCGATCCGATGAACGAACATGGCCGGCAGCATGTTCGCGAGGAATGAGTGTCGGGGCAACGTTCGTGCGAAGCTGGCGTGCAGACGGAAGAGTCTGGGCTGTGCGAAGCTGGGTGTGCGGACGGGAGAGTCTGGGTCGTACGAAGCTGGCGTGCGGACGGAAGAGTCTGGGCTGTGCGAAGCTGGGACGTGCGGACGGACAAGTCGGGCTGGCTTGGAGTTCGGGCGAACGAGTTAAGTAAGTTGACGGATGAACGTGGGAGAAGCCGAGTGCATGCGGCATGACGGACGTACGTGTGCGAGAAAACACGGACGGACTGCTCGGACGCGGGAAACAGTTGGCGGGAAGTCTTGGACGTTAGGCGTGGCGCGCAGACACGGAGAAGTGGGCTCGCGGACGGTTGACGGGCAGTTCCCTTAGCGTTAGTGGATGAGCGGTTATAACTCCCTTGGCAGTTGGGGATGTCAACTGCCACGTTCTTTCTCTTTATTTACTCGTAGCCTAGCCAGCAAAACGAACAAGAGAGGGAAACGCGAATGAGAGAGCGTTTTGGTTCGTGACTTGTGCTGAGCAGGCGAGATTTTCCTTGTGTGAACGAGAAATACATAAGGTTGGACCGGGTCCGTAAATCTGCGTCTTTGGATCGCAC